CCTCCAACCTAATAATAGCGATGGCCTCCAACCTACTAGCGATGGCCCTGCCTTTTTGTCGTTTTCCCTCTTCAAAAAGCCCTCTCTCAAAGAGACGAGGTCAGACAGGTCAGATGAGGTTCTGACACCCCGGGCTCCAAGAGCCGTCCAACCAAATCCGCCACCTGACACTGCACATCATCCCAAGAGGAACATGTTCTTCAAAGTCTATGGGAGGAAAAATGGAGGTAACGGTTAGGGCTTTAATAAGACCTCCTTCAAAAAACTCTTGTTGAAATGGCCCTTACCTTCCACTCCTTAGACTTTTTAGGAAAAAACATGAAAGCCGATTGAAGTCACAAACAGATCGGTGCGCAAGTTGCACGTGAAGCTGGGTCTCCAAGCCACAGGGTTCTCGGCCGACTCTGCTGCCTGAATCCAAGAGGCTCCTCTTTTGCCTATACAAAGAAGCTTAAAGAAAAAGACTCGAAGTTGCCACTCGGCTGCCATTTTTAGCCTCGAGTTCTTCCACCTTCCTCGAATCCGTTGTGAAAAAGACTTGAATCTGCCTTCCAGTTTGGTAGCTGTGTAATTCGCTGAGCACACTCGCGAAGTGGTCCTTGGTTTGGTGTTCCAAGTATTAGTGAAGGAATTGCCAAAGTTCCGATAGGACGCTACTACGGGCTCCTGGCCTTACTAATGGGAACAAGAAGCTACTAGGGACTCCTGACATCACTACTAGGGGGAGCAAGGACGCGAGTAGGTTGGAGGCCATCGCTATTCGGAATTGAAAAAAGTTCCGATATGTTCCAATGAACAACTGGGGCCTTCACTCAGTGTCATGTGGGAGTCTGAGGACCTCATGCGTGCGACATTTGCCGGCACAAGAATCCATCCACCATGGCGACTTGAGAAGAAAGCATCTTTGCCACAAAGAGAGAAGCATAGTACAATATTGACAATACTGTATATTGTCTGGTTTCAAAAAGATAGCAAATTGACTTGTCTTGTCTTCTTTTATATCTTTTATATGTCTTTTCTTTCCTTCTTAAGACCTTTAGACCTGTCATTCTTTGTTCTTCCTTTCTTTGTTCCTAAGACATACTTAACCTAATAGCATGTCCTAGGAGCATTTCAACCATCTCGGAACTAAGACCCCCGCACCACCCCGACTGCACCCACTTCTGCCAGACGTTGTAGTCTTGCCTCGACCCCGTGCCGTTTCAGAGCCGTGACCTGGGCTGTTCGTAGTCGACAGAGAAGACTTCGCACTAAAAAATGGTTGAAAAAATGAACTGTTTAGCTAGTAAGAGGCCAATCGCTACTAGGGTGGAGGCCATCGCGAGTAGGTTGGAGGCCACTACTACTACTAGTAGCAAGAAGCAGCCACTAGTTTTGCCTTTTGAACACTTGGAGTTGTGCCAACGTGGAAGAGGCTTCCACAGAAAGAGGCTCCAGAAGCTGCTCGACCTTGGAAGGAATTCTCGAATCCTCAAGCTGCAAATCCTGTTAGCCAAATGACTCGTTGGCGCCTTTTTGTACAAGCTTTACGCTGAATGTTTACCGAGACTGCTGCTTGCAGTGCTTTTTCCCCGGTTGGTAAATCTCTGGATTTTGTGCTTCCTTCAGCACGCAGCATTCCAAAATGTCTTTGCTATGGCTCTACTCAGGACAGCTTGTATCTAACAACAGAACAGACTCACGTGTTCAAAACCTCAACAGAAAGACATGCAGGTTGCCCATCAACCTCACAAGGGAACGAGTCAGCACAAGAGAGCGCCCATGCCGTAGAATGCATGAACTCCGAAATGCTGGAGATTGAGATTTGGCAACTTGGCTCATGAACTGCTCATTGTGCTCACTTGAAGTGCCCGGCGATCTCATCAAAAGTGAGGTCAGAGGATTCGGTGATCTGCAAGGCCTTGTGAACTCCGGACAACTTTTTCAAAATGGCATCCTTGGTGGAGGCGTAGGTCATCTTAGGCTTCACTCCTGAGGTGTCAGGTGACCATCCGATGAACACAAGCTTGTCCTGTGGACGACCATCTGCGGTTTCGAAATGAAAGTCCACGACTGCATAACGTGGCTCATTCTCCGCCACCTCTTTGAGGGCGTCCATAAAGTCACTGTACTTCTTGTCTTTGTCTCCTTCTTTCTCCACCACAACCTTATCTCCCTCGATCTTGTAGATGATGAACCTCCTGTCATGCTTCAGCTTCATGTCGTTGAACATGGAGATGCACTCATCCGTGGGGGTAATGCCGGAAGACATCTTCGAATTGAAGGCACTGCAAACTATGACTCCCCGGCTACAGTTTCACACAAACAGCTGCGGATAGAAGGGCAGCTACTTTGTCAAGTCTTGATTTGTCTTGATACCATGCTCTTATGATTCCTGGAGCTTCCAGAAAAGAAGTGGATCTGTTTCCAGACTGACGCATCTCTTGGATTTAAGAAGTGCACATGCCATTAAGAGCTCTCTGACTTTCAGGGCGGGGCAAACGTCATGGCATCCTTCAGCAAAGGCCCAGCTGCCTCATAACCCGTCAGATGGGCTCTGTGCATTCCTTGTGACACTTTCCGCTGGCCTCTGCTAGAGCAAGGGACACCTGTCTTGCCAGCGTCTCCACCTGCGCCACAGCTCATCCCAAAGGTGAACAACTAGTAGCTTCTTGCTCCTAGTAGCGATGCCCTTTGTTACTAGTAGCGTCCTTGCTCCTAGTAGTATGGCCAGGAGCTACTAGTAGCGTCCTTGTCCCTACTAGTAAGGCCAGGAGCCCCTAGTAGTGTCTTTGTTCCTAGTAGCGATGCCAGGAGCCCCTAGTAGCTTCTTGCTAGTAGCGATGGTCTCCAACCGAATAGCGATGGCCTCCCTCCTAATAAATAGCGATGGGCCTCCTTCATGAAACGAGGCGAAGCAAGTCTTCACCAAGGGCCTGCCTGTCGCTCCGTTGGCCTGCAACCAGCTCGGAGCAAGGCCTCATCGACGGACTCAAGTGGCTTAGCTCAAGTTGAGATCGTTACTTCTCATCTTGAGATCTTGAACACTGCCCTACTATGACATGTATTGAGTATCCTATGCAAAATCCTAGGAGCAAGAAGCTACTAGTAGCTCCTGGCCATACTACTAGGAGCAAGGCTACTAGTAACAAAGGGCATCTACTAGCTTCTTGTTACTACTAGTAAGGCCCTTTGCTCCTAGTAGCGATGCACTTGTTCCTAGTAGCTTCTTGTTCCTAGTAGCAAGAAGCTCCTGTTGTTCACCGCAGTGCGATGAAACCTGGGGACGCAGCTCCCAGCCAGGACCCATAGCGCCCATTCAGTTCTAAGCCTCCGGCCTACGCATGAAGCGGCTACGCAACGAAAACGTGTGTGTGTGTGTGTTGCAAAGAAAAAACACGGTTTTGATTCAATCAAATCGCACAAAAGTCCATTACGTTAACGGTCGGGCAAAAATCGTTGCGAACAAGAGGGCCAAGGAGTTATGCTTTGGATTGTTTTTGGACGGTAGCCGGATCTTACCCCGGTCAGTCCAGTACAAATATTCGGAAGCTTGTTTGGCTCATAAGTCTTGATAAGGCCCGCACATCATTGCCTTGCGCCTCAAGGATTGGCCTTCGGGAACAGTGGTACTTGGCTCTAGTTCTCCTAGACTTCTCTTAGATTTCTCCTAGTACTCCAGTTCTCCTTCTCCCTTAGAGTTCTCCTATTACTATAGTTTGCTTAGTTCGTCGGTTCTACCCTTTCAGAGTTCTACAAGACCACCTTGGTAGACCCTTGGCGGACCACGTCCAAGAGGAAGAGATATGGGATGGTATAGGCATTTAATTAGTAGCTCTATTAGGTACTAAGCACGCTCCTAGTAACTGGACGCAGGATAGCTCACGCTATTCATGTGGTTCCTAGATGTTAGGAAAACTTAACAAGTCCAAAAATGTCCGGGGCTCTGACACCAAGAGCTCTTTCTTGAAATGCTCCAGCAAGGACTTCCAATCACCACTAGGCCAAGGCCTTGCAGAACTGTTGAATCAAAAATGAAAAAATGCAGAAAACCTTTGGAAAAAATGAAAAAAGGCAAAAGAGACAGCTGGTGAGGTAGAACTGTCAGTCTGTGTGGGGCGGCAAAGACATGATGTTGAGTGCTCCTGAGTGACTTGTCATCCTGCCTCGCCATGCGTTTGCAAGCCTCCGCGGCAGCTTTCGCCTCCACCTCAAGTGAGTCTTCACTTTGGGCCATTAAGGAGCCGCCTAAAGGTTGAAAAAGGGTGTCTACACAAAAAAGAAACTAAAACAAAAAACACGATCTAATTGATCTAATTCTGAAGAAGAAAAATGATACCCAATTCTATGCACAAACTGCAAAACTGGGACATTGACTATTCTCGACTTGGCATCCACAACACCAAGCTTGGCTTTTGCAAGCTGCCTTTCCTTTGAGGTGGCCAGCTGTCAATCTGAAAGAAAACCGATTGTTCAAGCGATAGCCTTCAACCTAATAGCAATGGCCTCCAACCTAATAGCGACTGTTCCTTCCCAAAGAACTCAAGCAATTTTCCAACCCATGAGCTCGCACCTCTGCACGCCGCTTGCGGGCCTCCTCTGCCTCGGCCTGGTTCAAAATCTGAAAAACTCTGAAGCAAATAGAGTCTTCAGGAATTCGTGTGGAATTCGTTGATCTCCGCCACTATCAAATAGAGCTCACTGGTTGGACCTGTAGTAGAGCTCCTAGTAGCGATGCCAGGAGCCTAGTACCTTCTTGTTACTAGTAGCAAGAATGCTCCTAGTAGTACGGCTAGAGCGGCTAGGAGCCCCTAGCAGCGTCCTTGCTCCTAGTAGCGATGCCAGAAGCCCTTAGTAGCTTCTTATTGTTCCCGACAAGGGTTCTTATGTTGGTAAGGTGCAGCAAAAGCATCGAATCTCCTTCTCGTGTTTGGAGAGCTGGTTTGTTTCAACCGTTGATGTTCATCATAATAAGCCTGCCTTTTTAGCTCTTTCCTCCTTCTCTTTCAGTTTGCGTTCCTTCTCCTTCTTTTCTCTCTCCTTCTCTTCTTCCTTCTCCTTCTCTTTCTCCTTCTGCTGCTCCTCCTTCTGCTCACCATGTTCTTCGTCCTTCTCCTCCTTCTCTTTCTGGTCTCTTTCTTCCTCCTTCTCCTTTGTCTCCTTCTCACCATTCTCTTCATCCCTCTCCTTCTCCTCTTTCTTCTCTGCCTTTTCTCCCCTATCGCTCTTCTCCTCCTCCTTCTCCTTCTTCTCCTCTGTCTCCTCCTTGTCCTTCTCGATCTCGTCACCTTTGAAACGAAAAGCTGGACAAGAATGTTGTCTCCCACAGAAAACTAAGTGTGCAACCTCCGTCTGCCGTGCCACCTCAAAGTCCAAGTCCAAATGGAAACAGAAAACAAAAAAAGATAGTTAAAGCGATGGCCTTCAGCAGCTTTAGAAACAATAAGCTACTAGGAACAAGTGCATCGCTTCTAGTAACAAGTGCCTTACTAGTAGTAACAAGGAGCTATTTGAAACAAAAAAACAAATGATGCAATGATGAGTCTATTTTCCAAACAAATCTAGCACATTGACCGAAAGGACCCCTCAAGCCATTCGGGTGCTAACAGTAGCAACTTCAATTCCTTCAACAACCAAGGTAGCCAATCAAAGCCACTGTTTTCCACAACACGTGGCCCTTGTCTTGCCCCTTTTACGCCCTCCTTTGGCCGTCTTTCACCTTTGATTCAGATTGTTTATAGGCGTTTCAACAAACAGAACACTGAAAAAGCAAATCGAGGCTTCAAATCCCAGCGACTCAGATGGACATGGTTAATTCGGTGCTCGACAAACTGGAGATGGTGCTTGACATGTACAAACTGAATCCCCGAGGCAAGCCAAACAGAGTGATTTCGACCAAAGCTGAAGAGGTCATGACTATCCAAACTAAACGGTAATTGCATTGAAGGGGCCACGACAAAACAACTGTCGACCACCGCGTTCCTTTCCCTCTTCCTTTTTCTTCCTTCCGTTCTTTCTCTTTTCTTGTTTTGAAGGTTTTATTCCCCAGATCTTAGATCTAAGCACCATAGCGGCTCTGCCAAGCCCACTGTGCAAAGCACCTTTTCTGTCAGAGAAATCGGTGCCATTGGCTGCGGCGGCTGCGCCATGTCAAAGCCATCAGCGGTGCCACTGCCTCGCAAGAATTCCCCGAAAAAAACTTGGTCTGCCAGTTGGGAGTCAAACTTATAGTAGACCTTCCTTTTTTAATGGTTCTTTGCTTCCAATAGCGATGGCCTGCAAACCTATATACTAGCGATGGCCTCCAACCTACTAGCGATGGCCTCCAACCCAAGAACGCTGGCCTCCAACCTACTAGCGATGGCCTCCAACCCAAGAACGCTGGCCTCCAACCTACTAGCGATGGCCTCAAAACCTACTAGCCATGGCCTCCAACCTAATACCAACCTAATAGCGATGGCCTCCAACCTACTAGCAATGGCCTCCAACCCAAGAGCGATGGATGGCCTCCAACCTACTAGCGATAGCCTCAAACCTACTAGCGATGGTCTCCAACCTACTAGCGATGGCCTCCAACCTAACCTAGCGACGGCCTCCAACGATGGCCCCCAACCTACTAGCGATGGCCTCAAACGTACCTACTAGCGATGGTCTCCAACCTACTAGCGATGGCCTCAAACATACCTACTAGCGATGGCCTCCAACCTACTAGCGATAGCCTCGAACCAGTTGGAAGTTTTCAGAACAACACAATTCTGCAAAGAAGGCGGCAAATGCCTGTATTGGCAAGGGGTAGTGCATCATGTCTGGCTTGGCCTTCTTTCGGACCATATGCCTTGCAGGAGTGAAATGCAACTGGATCAACCGAAGATCAACCGAAACAATTCGCACCTGAGGATGGTCAGGGCATTGTGCCGAAGCCGGTTGGAGATCAAATCCTTTGCCTCAAAGCTTCTAGAAAAGAGAAAGCAAAGGTCAAAATACAAAAGGATAAGAAGGTCAGGGCCCCTTCTAGAAGGACTCCATTTACTTCGTTAGGTTGGAGGCCATCGCTAATAGGTTAAGGTTCTCATTGTAAGGAATACTTAGTCATAAAACCATTAAATCACATCATGAGCCCAAGTTTCAGCTGCGCCATGTGCACGGTACAGCTCCAGGACGTAAGGCTCTGCAGTTTTGCTGTCGGTGTACATAGGGTATCCACAAACCTCAGTAGAAACCGCTCCATGTTTCAATTATGGCATGTTCCCACCTTTGATGACTACTCGTCCTATTCTGGTTCTCAGTTTCTCCCAGCACATGCGAATCGAGCAACGAAATCATCTCCCTCATCTCCACAAAGCATCTCTTGAAAACGACTGGACATCTTTGTCGACTTCATCGCCTGAACTTTCACCACCAGGCAAAGCTTTTAGCACAGGTTGGAGAAATCCAGAGGGACATGTAACAATGTAGAAGATACAATATGTCTAAATACGTGCTAAGGTCAGTGCTGAAATCCGTTGTCAGTAGATTCTTTGCACGACATGGCTGGACACTGCGTGCAAATGCTTGCAATAGAATTAGTTTCAGCTTTGATTCGATGATAGGTGTTCTGTCTGTTTGGGCTAACTATCATACATGTCCAAAAAGGTCTCAAAGCGTTTCGAAGCTCTCTTGAAGAAGTGACGACATGATGAGTGATGTCCTACGAGCATGTTCAACGTTTCAAAATGCTCGGATGGTGTATTCATTGGCAAGGAACTTATTGTTCAGGGCTTGAATGGAAACCTGCACAAAGGCATTTGCAGCTGCAGAACCGACAGCGAATCATGGCGTTCGGCTGGCAACAAAACAAATGTGTTCGAGGCAGTGTTTCGACACTTGCTGTTTGAGAGTGTCCTTGGTTCGAATTGACAGTTCTTCGTGATCCACAGCGAGTGTCGGGTTGTGAAGGAACTCGGTTTCTTGCAGGTCACATCTGAGCACGTGGCTGAAATGGCTGGCCTCCTGACGTCGACTAAACGCAACAAGTCCAGCTTGTTCAAGCAAAGCAAGCATTGATTCTTTTTGGTATAGTCAGTGGGTAGTGAAAAAAAGGAAGCACCATGTCCATGTCCTCTGTTCCACCATCCAGAGACGCACTTGCATTTGCACCTTGAGAGGAAATCACAAAAATGTGTCGATCAACGATGAAAAAGCAAACTCAAAAGTCTGGAGTCTTTGGATTTACGTGTGTCTTTCACTTGGTCTCTTCCTTGCAACTTAAGACTAGGTTGGATGCAACCTTGGCTTTGTTCCTCAGCTTCCTGAGCTCAAGGACAAAACAGCAAACACTGCTTGTCGACCAACACCACTTCCGCTTAACCCCTGTGCTACGACTAGCAAGAACCAGTAGGTGCGAGGAAGAAAGCAAGCTCCAAAGGTCCAAAAGAATAACAATAGCAATGGCCTCCAACCTACTAGCAAAGAACACCGGAACACCACATGTCTCTCCACAAGGGGGTTTAGGTCGGAACCCTTCAATAAGAACACTTTCTCTGTACAAGACCCCGTCCGCAACGGGAAAGGAAACCCAGTCTTACCCGGTACACCTCCGCCCAGGTCTTATTCCGCACCTTGGACTCGGCTCCCGTGGTCGCAGCCTCCTCGATGACCGTTGAGGTCAATCGAATTCAATGGAAACAAAAACACAACGATGTAGGCCTCCATCTAGTAGCTTCTTGTTACTAGTAGCGATGGCCTCCACCCTAATAACGATGGCCTCAACCTAGTAGCTGCTTGTTAAATTTAATGTTGAGGGCCCCATACCTTCTTGTTTCTTCTCGACCCTACTGACCTACTCTTCTCACCTACTCTTCACCAAATCAACAAGCTTCCCCTCGTGCTACGTAGAGGATGCCTAGAAGCTTGCCAACTTCGCTACATCTGCTACGTCTTCTTCTCTTGGGGTTTTGGCCCCGTAACCCTCGTAAGAAGGAAAGGAAGAAAAGGAGAAAGGTTTAAAAGCATGACGAATATAGCCTCCACCCTAATAGCTTCTTGCTACTAGTAGCCTCTTGTTACTAGTAGCAATGGCCTCCAACCTACTCGCGATGGCCTCCAACCTAATTAATAGCGATGGCCTCCACCCTAGCGCGACTCGGGCTGTTTACCTTCCATTTCCCCCGGGATAGTTAAACTCCCCAGGCTTTTTGGCCCCAAACTCTTACGCTCTTCTGTCCACGAATGCTACGATTACAGAGGTTCGGATCTGGAATGCTCGAAAAAGAATTGCAAAAAGGGAACGCTTCCACAAAAGAAACGCTCAAACGTTCTTGTAGCTTTCCCTTGCGGCCCTTCTTCTCCCCTCTCTCCTCCTCCTGCTCCTCTTTGGCCTTTTCAGCCGCTGCCTTCTCGGCCGCTTGGGCCATCAGCTGCTCCAGCTCAAGCTCTGCGGTTTGGAGTTCGGCTTCCTCAACACAAGAAGCTACTAGTAATGCACTTAGCTACTAGTAGTGATTTACCTTGTTACTAGTAGCTACTTGCTACTAGTAGTCACATAGGGCACCTTTTTAGTCGGACCGTCCTTGCTACTACTGTAGTAGCTAAAAAGACATGTGAAAACAAATCATTCATTCAGATTGTTGTCTTTATGTTCCTAATCAGATTCATGAACCCTGCAATATGAGTGGTCGTACAATGGGTGTGATATCACCGTCCGCATTCATCGTGGTTGTAGCTTGCAAATTTCAGACTGGGCTTCGCGCAGCAACAGCTGCCATCTGGACACAAGCATCAGAACACATCTCAGCCTCAGGAAATGTTGCGTATCGTTCGAAGCTGTCCACAGAACCCTTTGCCGTTGCATATCTGTACATCTACCAAATGTCCATGCAACTAGTGTGACATAGCACTAAATTTGCTAAAGTTGCCATTGGTTTGCTCTGAAGTGATAATCGTTAAGAATCCTTGGAGGATTCATGTCATGCTATGTCACATCTGAGCAAGTCGAAAAGCAGTGTTTGCAGAGTTTTCGAGTGAGGCACCCATGGGCTGCCACGCTCGGCGAGTAGCATGGCCAGACCTAAGTGGCTCCCCGCTCTAATCATGATTGAGGACGTGAAGACCTTTATCTTAGTAGCTTCTTGTTACTACTAGTAAGGCACTTGTTACGAGAAGCGATGCACTTGTTCCTAGTAGCTTCTTGTTACTACTAGTAAG